ATTTTTCTTATAATTTTTGTACGCGGAACAATGACTCCCATTCGCACCTTCGCCGTGAAAAACAAAAAAAAAACGTAGCGCTTCGCCAGTGGAAGAACAGGAAGGTTATTTGACGTGCAAGGATATACAAGTGTCACATTCGAGAGAGAGATAGAGGGGGAGAGAGAGAGAGATAGATAGTTAGGGCCCGGGGGGGGGAACGCCCCCCCGTCCAAAAGTTTCCTGTCCGGGCCCGCCGGCTTCGTGGCGCGATGTACCATTGACTACCGGCCGTTCCACGAGAAGCTGCTGTCCCCGAATACAACTGCCACCCCGTCTACAAGGTCCGATGGCCCCGCAGTAACCAGGTCGCTGCTCAGTAGTATCGTGTACCGTCCGACCAACGACGGGATTAAAGTCGGCGGTACATCACGCATCGATCACCCGCGGAACGGAAAAGAAAAAGGAACCGGACCTATCAATCATGCCTTGTACTAACGTGAAAAGAAGAGAAGTCAACTACAAAAGACACATAAAAAAAAAACACCCGCGTTCAGGGCAGACGATAAACACACAAATTTAAAAATAATGGGTGGGGGATTTCCCCTGGGGTGCTTCCCCTATTGCCGTTTTGGCTTTTTGGCGAGTACATATTGGAAATTCAGCTGTAGGAACTAATAGTCACGTGCGCATACATTAATTATTAGGTACATTTACACACACAAAAAAAAAAACAAGGAAGAGAGAGAACGAAAAAATGAGAGAGAGGGGGAGAGAAAGCTCTGCGCCACGAGTCGTAGTTGAGTGCGAGCAAATCAGATTACGAACAGAGGAGTCACCATTTTCACAGGTTCTAGTTTACGTGTTACGACAATACTTCAATAAATAATGAAGCAAATAACAAAACGTCACCATCGCGTCGGTCGCCATTTTGTTCTACGTGAAGCGTCACATGTTATCTCTTTCTAAATAATGCAAATAACAAAGATAGACAAACGCCACCATCGCGTCGGTCGCGATTTTAGCTTGTGCGCAGCGTCACTCGGTTTCTCTTTCTAGCTAACAAAATAACAAAGACAGCAAAACGCCGGCGTCGCGTCGGTCGCCATTTTTACTTTTCGTGAAGCGTCACAGACTAGGGATGGGCAGATTCGGTCATCAGTACGAACGGATCGTTCATCGTTCAGTCCCTACGAAGACCCGGTCGTCAAATGTCGTTCATTTCGTTCATTTCGTTCATTTCGTTCATTTCGTTCACCGTTCACTTCGTTCTTAATCATTCAAGGCTCAGGGATCTATTGATGAATCATTCGGTCTTTCGGCTCTTCGGTCAATGGTCAAATTAGTTCCCCTTTTGCTTGAATCCGATCACTTTATAGGGAAAGTCATGCTCAGAACTATCGCATAGGTATTCGAAAAAAAAAACCCCGGCCCATTGCTGTCTTATTTTTCGAATACTGCATTGTGTGATACGTCAAATTAAATCGTGTGAAATATACTATGATCTGATTCGAAAAATTAATGATTTAACGTTTATTTGGTTTTGTCTACATTTAATTTTTTTTAATGCCTCCCATTTTTTTAGAGATTCATGTAACGATTTTTTTCTGAATTCTGTGATGTAAAAATAATAATTTAATATTTAAAAAAAGTAACTTGAATTTGTGAACGCAAATAATTGTGTTAATAAATACATCACTAGCACTTTTGACACAAAAATTAAATTCGTTTTTATCACAGCTTCCAAGCAACTTTTGAGTAAAAAAAAATAATTTATTGGATCTTTCGAATCATTCGGTCGTCGCCCTTACGATTAACAATGTAGGAGCAGATTTGTTTTGTTTCCTTTTATACCTTTTCCTTACGTTCTAATGTGATGAAGCCGTGAATAGTCACGTTCATTGATTATATTATACATTACCTTTTTTACGTGGCCATAGGGATTTTTTTTATTAATAATCATTACAATAGTAATAATAATTATTTATTTACATTTATTTTTTTAGTTTCTAATGTTCAGACGTTTATGAACATTGTATATTAGTTATCGTCATAAATTGTCATTTTCGTTCCTGGTTCCTAATTTAAATTCATACTACTGGAATTAATCTGTCGGGAAAACTTATGTTCTTAGTTAATTCCATAAATAGCATAGCATGTGCTCCTAGTATTTGATACAGAACATAGAACTGTGCTGGAGCCATGATTCAAAGATCCAACGGAATCAAGATCCAGTCGAGACAATGTGAACGGTGAACGAGTGAACGAGTGAACGAAATGAACGAAAGAACGACCAGTTTGCGTTGGGAACGATTTCGGTCACTCGTTCATTCGAACGACCCGTTCAATTTGATTCGTTCGTTCGCGAACGACACATCTCTATCACAGACTGTCTCTTTCTAACTAACGCAACTAACAATTCCCCAATTACCCGGTATCCACCACCTAGCTACGCTAACCCAAAACAAAATAATGCTATTTACCCACGTTCTATGTCCGTCTTAAAATTAACCCTTCCATTCCTAGTCCACTTTGATACAACTTTCCGACACCTGACCGCGCGAACAACGAATTTATTATTATTATACCAACACCGCTTCCGCATGCATGCATACTTCTTACAATAATTCGCCTCTAACATCATATGTGATAATCGAGCCTACCAATAAGCCACCGAGTTGAGAAAGGGTTAATCCAATCGGCGTCCTTTCAGCTTCGGCACTTAAGTCGCTGTCGCCGTGCGGGCGTCGCACTAAATTTCACCTCACTGGGTAGGAAATAGTTTATTGGTACACCGCATCCGTCACAAAAGTCTTGAAGAGTCGGTCGTTTCCTATTTCCAGACGAAAAACTCCAGAAAAACACAAAGATTGACACCAGTAATTTGTTCGATCTTGCACCCTTGAAGGTAGTACTCTGACTGACTTCTCTCCCTTCCTTTTCGCCTCGTATCTCCGCATCCCCCGGTACGTCCCGTACCACCCAACAGATGGCGTACTAAGTATCGTTCTGGGATAAATTCGGATGTTGCTTTGGCGCTGGTCTTGTTCCGATTTAAATTTAAAGCGGGATATTACAATACCAATTGACTTTCGCTACATTATTTGACTGTAAAGAATTTTCTCCAACAAAAAAAAATGGCAATTGCCCCTATTGTTAACACATGTCTTTCTGTCATTATTAATAACAAATACAAAAAAACCAGTCCACAGATACATACAACCCAATGTGAATCAATATCACAGAACTAATATATCATCCAAAAATTGTGATTATGATTGTTTGTTGTGATGAAAATACGAAATCAACTGTCATATTTTGGGGATTTTCACGATCTAAACGTCACTAGTACCGCAAAATATTCGCGTTCTTTTTCTTTCCCAAGTGTTTCTGGATTTTCCGTTTCACTCATGCGCAAGACGTTAGAAACGATGTACGTTACTTCGATGGATAGCGTTGTTTTTAATTTGCAATATATCTTTAACAGAAGCTTTTTATATAGTTAAACCTTTAGTAACAGGAAGATAATTGTACAGTCTTTATCGCTTGTAGCATGAACTAGTTAAGATTTCTACCTATGCGGCGTATTTTGTCTGTAAAATCAAGCTCCCATAAGAAACCCATAGTAGAATTTTTGAATTATGAACTGCCGCGCATTCTAAATTCTAACCTTACTTTACTGGTCAATTTAAAATCTAACCGTGACACTTTGTGCAAATGAATTTTTGGAAAAGAATTAAAAATAGTGTAATAACAATAACATTTTGTTTGTTTGTTTTTTATAATATACTAAGCGCCCTATCACAGAGAATGCTGTGTCGAAATTCAGATTTGACCCCGCTTCTTTGATAACGATTTTACGTTTTATTGATTTATTTTCCACGTCTTCATGGCTATAAAATTCAACGCTATTAGAAGACGCTAATCTACATTTTATTTTTTTACAAAAAGCTATAAACAGTAAACAATGGTCCAATGAAAACATGAAGAATGTTTTTTAGAACGTCTCTGTAAAAATTACATTTAACTTAAATAATTCCGGAAGATTAGCCTTAAACTATCAAAACCAATGTAATGAAACTGCCAAATTTCAGACTAAAGTCGCTAGAAAACCGAAGTACCGCAATTCAATCTTCCAATGTGTAAGAAAGAAAAGTAGGTACAGTCGAGGCCATTAATAATGATCGCCTCCCGTAGCCATGATCCTAGCTATGGACTGCCGAAATTATCCGAGCCCTTAGTGAAAGCTGAATTTTGATAAATGCAGGTCTGTGTTTGCAGTTGTAAACCAACCTTGCCTTTCTTGAACCGTTCGGGCATTGCTAGGACCGGGAGGCGGTCATTATTAATGGCCTCGACTGTACCTTCCGCTGCGCGCCCGCAAGACAAACGACCACCTATGAAAACGGGCCACTAAAAATAGAGAGTTGTCCCTACTGAATGATCTCATACTGTGGTTAAAGTTTTACTAAGCCGGGTGTTACCTGGTGCATTGATTAAATACATATGTATTAGCCAATAACACGTGACGTCACGCTGTGGCGGGAACTCAGCGTTTGACAAGCGCCGTGAAACTTCGTAAGCGACAATGTTAACATTTTCGCATTTTATTTAAAAGTGTGGATATTTATCTAGAAAATAAACACGTCAGTAGCTTCTTTCATATCTTTTCTGTGTATCAGGGTGCTTTTTTTGGCGATTTGAGTTTAGAAATACATAATAACAATAAAAATACAGAACGCTGTTTTGGTCTGAATTCCTCGTCACCCAAAATACATCCGTGTGTTTTAAGCGGTAAATCGGAAATTAATATTTTCGTTTGAGGTTAATGTGACGGGTTTAAGTGAAGATGTGTGATTTGTTTTTAAAGTATGGATAATTTAAACGGCGTAGATCCTTATATAATGAGTGCAAGTGATTTTAATTTGTGTTTACACGATGTCCCTACCATAACAATGAATACCATTCTAAACTTTTTTATTTTTGGAATAAGTAAAATAACCTACAATGAAATTCGTGCATTCAAAAGTCTAGAGGCATTTATTCAGTTTTCTCTTTTTTAAACGACTGTGTCTTTCAACATTACAAGTATTATGAGTGAATTTATTTTGATATCCTAAATTTTGTGATGGAACATAATCAGGCTGGTCCACATCCGACAAATCTGCAGGTTTACCTAAAAGAGCATCAATGTAGTAATTTATTAGAAACTGTAAACCTAATAGGTAGTTACTGTACCTAAAATAAAATAATCCGAACAAATATAGGAATACTTTACTTTGGCTTCGTTAAATCCACTCGTTTCAAGGCTTTTAACCAAAGCTTCCGCCTTTTTTCCCCATTCTGTACATATTTACCTGTATTGTTGCTAATTGCTGGGAAAGGAAAATAAAATTTGTCCGTATTTCTGGTGCTTCGATTCGCGCAACCCACAACAGCACAAAATTTAGGCATTTTCTCCTAAAATACAAAACATTATAATATTAAGATGCTAGTGTATTTAAAAAACATTGATGTACATTAACACAGAATTAATTTGCAAAACAAATAATATAAGATGCAGCGAAGTTAACCTGTACATCACATTGGAAAACATTATTTTTTAAGGATATTCAAACGTTATGGTGCGTTTTACAGATATCTACACACTCTAGAAACTGTAACAAACTTACCAAACTATAAAAACACAGTTGACACACTCTCAAATTTAAATGAATTCCGAAAATATTAGCATTGACTCTTATGAGAAAACCGGCTAGTTGTCAAACGCTGCCATCTTGATGACCTCGGATGACGTCAGTGTATTTGGCTAATTTAATCAATGCCTGGTGTTACCGAGTCCATCCGGCGAATGGCTACTTTCATGTTTTTTCGATGTCTCATGACCCCTAGAGGACGGGTCTTTCCGTTTGTCTCTCTCTCCCTACCTCCCGGCTGTATTGATTTTTATTGGGCAGATAAGTTGACAACAATTGGTCCGGTAGTTTTGGAAAACTACCGGACCAATTGTTGTCAACTTTTGTGTGTATATTAGGATCGCGTAGATCGTCAACCCTAACCAAACATTGACTAAGCATCCCCACCAATAAATAATGTATGATGTTCGCTAAAAATGTTTCATAGTAAATACGTAAATACTATCGCTCTTGAAATTGTATATAAAATGCAAATACTGTCGACATGACTTTAGACCTTTTTTTTTCAAAACACATACTTTATGGCAGTTGTTTCTGCTTGTGCCTTCGAGTTCTAGGATATAGTTTCCATTTTTTCTAATTTTGAATTTATTATTTAAAGAAGTTTGGTTGAAATGTGATCGAATCACTGCTTTTAGGGGTGACAACACTGCGCAGTCAATTTCCTTGTCTAAGATCTTTCCAGTCTCCGGCTGAAGGTTAGCCACAGACCAGTAGAGATTCCTTTACTGATCTGTGAGCAGAACAACTTTTTACAGGAAACGGTTCGTGTTGTTAATCTGGCAATTATCCTTTTTTTTGATAAACTAACAAATGCAACAATTACGAATCTGATTCCATTAGTTCTTAGATTGTCTTTCATATTACGGAATAATGGGATTTTGTCGTATGTGCCTACACTGAATATTTAAAACAACTAACATAGGTTACATTAGCCATAGACAAGGATGTGACAAACTTTTGCGCGTATAGTATAAGTACCAGTATGTAGTGTTTACTATTAATATTTTTTGTAATGATCTAATGTAATTTGTAGTATTTTACATATTTGGATCTAAAGGTACAGGTAAAGGCATTCCCTTTCGTATCAATTTCATGCCGCATACACTCAATAGATGTCGGTAGTTGCTACTAATTGACGTTGATCTGACAGCTGAAAACGTTTCATTCATTCAGTAAAATCGCAATCGTTGCAGTGTTTGCGAGTGTTTTTTAATCGTTGCAAAAATCCACGAACGTCTGTTTGCTTATATCATATAGTTAAGTATTAATAATAAAGAATAATTGAGGTATGTATTTGTTGCATGATTTTTTTTTAGTCTGTCCGTAGGTCGAAGCATGTTTTTAACGTTCTTTTGTTTAAATAGTTAACAAGATTAATTTTGAAAATGATATGTCATTATTAAATAAAACTGTGATTGTTATGTGACAGTTTTGGCGGTTATATTGCACCAGCCTAACTTGATTTATTTATTTCACCTTGATATATGTCATTATGACAATAAATAAATGCCAGAGAAATGTTTGTGTAATCCAAAGTTTATGTTAAACTGCACATCAAGACAATCAGTATTACTTGCTTATGCAAGTGTTTTAAATTACATAAGTGTATTAATTATACTTAGAAAGTGTTTTTTACGTTAATACGTACTTCTGATGGCGAAGTCGCCTTTATCAAATGGAAGAGTTTTATCGTCTCGCAAGTTGTTATCTTGAGATTCCCTCCAAAAAATATCTCCGTCTTAATTGTAAAATTAACAGTTGATATCCGCCCCTGCGCATTTATTGACAGGAAGTGGTTGAATTATGTACCGCATCAAGTTCATTGACAAATTGAGTTTTGGGGTTGTTTTGTGCAAAAGCGACATTATGTTGTGAGACCATCAATCGAAGTTGTCCCTGTTTCCCAATATTTTATTTGTAATTTGATAAAATTTAATGTTTACCTAGTAGAAACACGAACCTCACCTGACATTTACAATGGATTTCAAGTTCAGTGTTGGTGGAACCAAGCCAACATCTTTTTCAGATACGCATTATATATATATCTATGTTTTGAAGATCCGTAAGGATTTTTTCCACGTGAATGTTTTTGTAATAATTCCTTTCCATTTTAAATGAACTGCCAGATTTAAAGTCGGCTTAATTAAAAAATTCAAATGGTCTCCGCTTTGCTTTTTGCTTTTGATACCTTTGCCGTTGTATGGCATTGTGATAACATCACCCCCTTGTAGAAGAAATCTTTTGCTAACCGAAACCTACAATAACAGAGTTCTTTTTAATTCTTATATGTTTAACTAACATATATATTAAAACTTGACGGTAGTAATATATCGTAATTAACAGGATTACCCTGCAGATAATATACTCTTTAGATAGGGGATGTACCACCGTCTCAGTTGTAGACGTCTTATTATGTTCATCACAACTGGTGTAAAGTATTAATGACTAAAATAGAAGTTCGTCGTTTTTTGTAATAAAATACAAACAATGTCGTGATGTCCTTAACCGTAATTAAGTCTTTTTGCACGTACCAAGTCTTTTTGACAACGGTTGCCTTTATGTGCTCTTCTCACTTTACTCATGGTACGCATCAACATGAAGAAATGATTTTTTTTTTGTAGCACAGACAAAAAATATTCAAAAAATATATATAGGACGGTCACTTTGACATTTTTTTGGTTTTCCTTGGTTGTGATTTAGAATTCAGGTACAACGTTTGGTGTTAATAAGAATTTGACAGCTGGTTTAACCATTGAAGAAAATGTCGTTTAGTAGTGTGAACCTGTTCACGACTAAATGTGAATGATACGTTTCGTCTTATCAGAAATCGTTTTGTTTTTTAATGTTACAAATAATGACACAAACAACCAAAATAATTTAATAAATTAAAGAAGCCTTATCATTTGATTAAATGGAAAGTAATACGAATATACCAGTGATGTCAATCGGGAAGTGAAGCACTCTCGAAGCAAGAAACCTACCAAAATGCGACGATCGCTCGTCAAAAGGTATATTACCAAGTTTGTTTGGGTTTAATTCGAATGGTGTTCGTCTCGTTCAAAACAACACAAAACAGCTTTTTTGCAAAATCTGTTTTGTCCTTTTTAAAAATTTGCAAACAACGGTGAGGGGTTTTTATTCAATCAGTTTCGCAATACCTATATTAAATAACAATATAGATTTGATTTCTGTAAAGTTTTTCGCATCTAACGTGTTCAGTAATCACTATAATATATAGTAATATATATGTACATATAATACACATAACATGCGTGCGGTGTTATTTTGCGGCAGTATTTTTACTTCTAGAAATTCCTCTCTACATCTAAAAATAGAACAATTATTTACTTTCTTAACCGATTGATGTAAAATTTACCTAATTTCTCTCTAATGTGAGAATTTCTGATCTTTTTCGTTTTGATTTTCTTTTTATTTTCAATTTTCTGAAAGTGAGTCTGATAACCTCATTAAGTCATTCGGTTAAAATCCTCCGGCTCGGAGATGTACGCGAAGCCCCAGATTGACGTTAAACTGTTGCGATTATTTATTAGGGAAATTCATTCTGCACAGTTATTGAGACAAGCGTGGGTGCTCGTAGGCGATTTCCACTGTTTCCATATCAGTGCTGTTTTGCCGATCATTGCACCGAGTCTGTGTGGGAGTATCTCTGTATCCTCCCACACGTTTAAATTTGTCAATTTTGTTGGAATTTTTTAATTAAGGTATCTATAAGATTCATTTTTCGCGGTTTTCTATCATTTTCTTTTACCCCAATGCGTCGGTGTTGTCTTATACCGTATGTATTATCGATATGTGCGCAGAATGGATGCGCGCGATCTATTCAATGCTCGAAGTCGATACTTTGTATTAGTCCAAGATTTGTCGAATGCATTTCATATTACCTCTGTGAAATAATTCGTGCAATTTCACAATTGGGTCTGTTGCCGGATAGTCATTATTTGCTTCTTCCTCTGGTATGTAGGTTCGATTTTTCCATTTCTCAGTTCTTTATTGTTGTTATTCAATCATTTGTCGTTGCTGGTGGTTTTTTTATATGTTAATTAAAAAAAAACAAAGATTGAATTGGTAATATAAGAGAAGTTACGCGTTTTATTTTTATTTTGTTATTTTGTTGGATCGATTGGCACTCATAATTTTTTATCATTATTTTATTTAGAAGCTGAACTGTGACTTGCTGAAGAACTAAGTAACCATTGATTCAGATATTCATGTCAAGGTAGACAAAATTGGGTCAAATGGATGAGGGGATGCAGAAAATGTCGTCCTTTATTCACTTAGAAATGTCATCCCCTGATTTGTGTAGCTACTCGTGGAAATTTTCAGATCACGTGGGTATCGTTCTTTTACCCCTATCATTATGTAACCTAGCAAATTTGTACGCTGATTAAAATGTTTAATTTATCTTTATGATTTTTTATCGGTTGCGATTTATCCATACAGCGTCTTTCCGATATTTGATATGTTCCTTTATAAAATTTAATGTTTCTTCCTGACAGTACTAGTGACCTATTTTCTGACAAGAGATTTTTTTCCACAAATTTACTTAGTTACTGATCAGAGACATGGCGCTCGTAACAATTTTAATATAATTTTCGTTATGTTGTATTCGCTTTTTCATAGAAGATAATTACGTTCCAAACGATATTATTTGTCTCGGTAAATAAAGAACACTCAATTTAGGACGAGATATTTGTCGAATTCAACGAATGCAAACCATTGCGTAGGCGATCATTGCAATTATTTTGATGAAATTTTTTCTCTTATATCTCATAACTCGGGGTTACGTTGCTATGGCAAATTTAAAACAGAGCTTTATGAGATAATAAAATAAATCCGATTCGCAATTTATATTCATTCTATTAATTGCGAAAATTTTTTGAAATGTTTTTATCCGTGAATTGTTTTGTTTATTTGGTTAAGTGAAAAAGAGAATTACTAGGAATTTAATAAAAACCCGTGGTATAATAATACCATTTTTGTTTAGGAAAAGAGAGTCAGATTAACTTAGCTCCATGAAAATATTTACCAACTATTAAGGTGACAAACAAAACAAAGTTTTATGAAAATATAAAATTTGATAATAATTGTCCTCGTTTTCCAAAATAACGACTTCGATCCGTTATAAAAATGGTAATTAAAAAATTTTTCGTGTTGGCAACAAATTCTTATCGACCCAAGCAGAAACAAAACAGAATCTCTGGTGTAATTGAATATGTATTCGAGGAAAATTGAGTTTGATTTGTACATATGGTTTTTAACAGTTGTTTGATTAATTAGGGATTACATCGAGTTAGGTTGTGCTTAATTAAGCGTTTATTTTTGCCTTTGTTAATTTTATCATAAATTCCGCCGCTAACCTTTGACGTGCTTTGTACGTTACGTTCTCTGCGGCGTGTATTAATAAATATCTTATTAAAGGATTATTCGAAAATTGCCTTAACTAATTATATAAATTGACGGAGCGGCGGTCGAATTCACTCGTAACAATTTAACTCGAAATTCTCATTACAGGTAGAAGACAAAAATGGCGTTCGCAGGCTTAAAGAAGCAAATAAACAAATGTAATCAGTATGTTACGGAAAAAATGGGAGGTGCCGAAGGCACCAAACTTGATTTGGATTTTATGGACATGGAACGGGTAAGTAAAAGACGTTGTTTTTTGTAATGTGTACCGACAAATGACGTTTGTCATCGTTTGTTCGTAACTATGTTGCTACGTAGTAGAATTTCCATAATCGTAATTTAAAAATTTCGATGCGTGAAACGCATAACTATGGTTGCCTATGATAGTGGCCGAAAATTTTACCGCCGTTACTTTATATATTGAACAAGAAGATAATAGACAATTATTTCGGCATGCATAATTTCTTCACTTTATTTATTGAGGGACCACATGCACTATTACGTTAAGCTGACGATATTCTAGTAGTTGTAGCGTTTTCTAAGATGTCCCTATTGTTTATTACTTTATACAAGAAAGGAAAATAGGTACATACTTAGGACTAAGAACGTGTTTCTCAAGTTATACTGCCTGCCGAGCGCCTCGTTCTTATGAAATGTATGTACATGTAAAAACAGGATTTTTTTTGTCGTACTACGAAAGATGGTGTAGTGTACTATGTTGAGAAATAGTTGAAATACTTTCTGGATTACCCTCACATATCGTCATGTGATTAAATAATGCGTACCGTTAATAATTAATTATTGTTATTTAGCGTATATTAAATAACAACGCAACGTAACCAGTATTATTCGCCACTATTTATATTCTATTATAACAGGTCACCGAAAAGTAGGCAGTAGATTGACAGCAATTTTTAACGGTACGGCGTTACATGACGTTAGTTTTGACATACTGTCTTTTGCAAATAAGAGTTTGATTCCACTCATTTTTTACTCCCAGAAAACGGACGTAACGTACGAGTTGGTAGAAGAGTTACAAATGAAGACTAAAGAATTCCTACAACCAAACCCTACAGCACGTGCAAAAATGGCGGCTGTTAAGGGCATTAGCAAATTAAGCGGACAAGCGAAATCAAATACTTACCCTCAACCGGAAGGGGTTTTAGGAGACTGCATGTTATTGTATGGCCGTAAATTAGGGGATGACAGCATGTTTGGTCAAGCTCTAGTCGAAATGGGAGAATCGCTCAAACAAATGGCCGATGTTAAATACTCACTCGATGATAATATTAAACAAAACTTCCTCGAACCTTTACATCACTTACAAACTAAGGATCTAAAGGAAGTTATGGTAAGTTGCTACGATTTTTAAAATCTCTAGTAATGTTGTCTGTAGCACCACAGGAAAAAATTACAAGGTCGTAGACTGGACTTTGATTGTAAAAGGAGAAGACAAGCTAAAGGTAATTTTGCGATTTCGGTGAGTTTAGAATGAAATGTTTTCTTATTTTGCAAATTTTCGTTAGAATTGGGGCGTTTTCTCATAATATGCATGATTTATAGCATCTAAAGGGGGTCTTAGTCCTTACTCCAGCCCCGTCAGAACGCAGAGAAATTATTATGGTATGTTCTGCCTAATGCAGAAATCAAACCGTTGCCAAACTGTAGACATATTTTGCCAGATTTTTTTTATTCTTCACTAGATACCACATATAATTTCGTATTATTACGTATGTTCAAAAAATGACTAAATATCGCTTAAATTTGTAGAACGATAAACGTTACATGAGTCAAATATAATTATCATGAAATCGGTTACTGCTCTCACTATTTGAATAATTGATCATATTGATTGACATGTGTGATGTGTTAACAATCATAAATTTCGTGAATTAACCATTTTTAGAGTATTTTAAAATCTTTGCTTGCAAATTCTATACTGTGTTGTATTTTTGGGCTACGATTTGGGGTTGTCGTGGAAATTGCGTATGGTATTGTTGATTTAGTACAAGTTGTTGGTTAAAATCCTAGACTATTCAAATATTAAATAAAAACAAATAATTGTGGGAACAGCGTCGTATACTACGCCATACCGGTCAAAACATACAAAATATATTCGATAGTGGTATCTGATAGTAAAATATATAATACAGAATATAGGGTAAATTGTCGCTTTCCAGTTGCAAAATTCGCTTGGCCAACTCACGGAAGATCATACTTATACTTACTATATTATACTATATTATACTATATTATACTATATTTATTGATCAAAAAAAAAACAGACTTTGTAAAATACTAAGACAAATTTGTAGCCTACAATTGGGATAATTTACAAAAAACATAAAAAACTGGGAAATCACAAAAATTGAAAATTTTGTAAAAAGAAGCTATCGTTATGCTGTTAAAGATGAATTTTAAGTGGTGGAAATAATTTACATATCACTTAGATCTGTCACAAAAAATTATCATAAAAACAATAATTGGCGTTTTGACCGTTATGGCGTGTTAGGAAGGTGAAGTACGCAGAATGTGATTTTTCACTAGCTTCTTGTGCACATTGTTGTTTTTTTCCATATATATGCATATTTTGAGCATGCAGTAGTCGGCAGTTAATAACTGACAAAGTACTGTTTACTTTTTATATTATTTAGATGTAGTATTTTTATTTGAATATATTTTTGACAGTATCCGCATGGTATTAATTGTTGCATGTGACCTGTATTTCCATTGACAGGTTCACATATTTCAGATGAGGAAATTAAGACTGCTGAAGAAAAGTTTGCAGAATCTCTGCATCTCGCTCAAATGGGAATGTTCAACTTATTAGAAAATGACGTAAGTATTGAAGCCACGAGAACAAGAAACCCTCTTTTGAAGAGATATTGATTCTAATGGGAATTATAGGTAGAACAAATTTCACAATTAGCCACATTTGCGGAAGGTCTATTGGAATATCATATCCAGTGTACAGATATTCTGAAGCATTTAAACGAAATCATACTGGAAAAGTATTTATTCAAAGTTTGTTATTACTTACTTTCTCTAACATAAATAAGCTTTTTAGGAAAGAAGAGGCAGCAAATCGTCCTAAAGTTGAGTTCGTGCCGAAAAGTTTGGCAGACTTACATATAGAAGGTGTATCAGATGGAGTCAATGGTATTCATCATCACAACAATCACACAAATCATCACAATTATTCCAGTAGTGGTCACCAATTTAAAAGACCCGCCCCCAGAACCATTCCCACACATACAAAACAACCTGATCCGTTCGACCCTTGGAGTTTTCCCCCAGGTATTTTTTGTTTAGTTAGTTTTAGTTTTTTGGGTTGTTAATTAATTTAGTTTGTTTCCTGGATTTGCACCTCTGATTTGTATTTTTTCCGCACACTAGAGTGTGGTAAAAATGCATTCGTCTTGAAATACTGGGTGCCGGTTGCAAAAAAATAAGGATTCTTTTGTTTTGTGGGCAATATATTTTTTACTGATTTCTTTAAGTTTATTTCATCTTTATGTTATTGGTTGACATTTCTAATTTTTTTTGTCTCTTAATTTTGTCCCTGTGTCCTCTCCTTTCTCAGCTGCATCTCCACCTACACATTGTTGTTCGTTACGATTGTATGAAGTTAAAACCGTTGCATTGTTGGGCTAGGTTATGACTTTCACTACACTAAATCCATTTTCATAATAGTGCAAGTTGTGTCTTGAATTAGTTTCCGTTAATGTTTGTGTGGTTGTATTTTGTGCATTTCTCGGCTGAACTGAGCTGTTAATGTTTATTGTTTCCACGAAGCTGAAAATTGAAGATTAAGAAATGAAGCGTGGAAGTTGGCGCGTTCCCAAAATGCATAGGCGATGCCTAAAATACCCTAGTTTGACATCGAACTGTTTATTATTGGTCGTGTTTTCGATCGAGTCACGTCTGTCAAATTTGATGTGATTGTTCTAAAACGATGTCCATGTTTGCTCGTTTACCATTGTTTCTTAATTGCTTGAGCTGTTGTTCTGACAAAGATGTGTTGTTAGGCTCTTCGCAAGTGTCTTCTCCACAACACAAGCCACATCAACTTGAGTTGCACCCAGGACAACATTCTGCTAATGGTAACTCTCCTATCTATTGCTTTTGTGTGTAGTATCTATCTCTAAGTGAACAGTTCGCAAATATGTTGGGGCATTTCATTTTTTGTGCCACTTCTGAGTCCGATTATTATTAATGTTGACGTTTTAGCATCTCCACTGCCGTCCCCAATGAAATCGCCAGCACGGACGCCCATGAATAGGCAACCTTGCTGCACAGCGTTGTACGACTTTGACCCCGAAAATCCCGGCGAATTGGGCTTTAAGGTACACTAAACACGGGGAAACCCATAAAACTATGTATTATTTGGAACGTCGTACTGCTTTTGCTGTATAAATTAGTAGTTTTATGGGAGTCCATCTTTTTCTTACCGCAAATGACTGAGTACGGACTATTTTTACCTAATATTCAGGAGTGGAATATTCAGTCGCACCTGCAGGGCTGACATCGAGTTCACTAGAACTATTTTAAGAATGACATTTCCAGAGTTCTGTTGACAAAACACAAAATAACAACAACTAAGGTATTTATCTTGCGGTTCAAATTTAAAAATACTCAAAAGTTTTAGCATAAAATGCGCTTAAAGTAATTCTAGTCATTACGATGTTAGACCGTTAATGTCGCTATTTTATTAACTATTTACTTATAATTTTATTTAGGAAAATGATGTGATCACTCTTCTAAATAAAATCGACGACAACTGGTTCGAAGGTACCCTCCATGGTCGCACGGGTTACTTCCCAGTAAATTATGTGAAAGTTGATGTGCCATTACCATGAGTTACGGGTTAAATTATACTTCAATTGAACAACAACCCCTGGTATTTGTTTAGTAATATTGCATGTCATTTACTACGTTACTTGCCTTGTGTAAATTGAAGTATTTATTTATTTGACTAATTCAACTGCACTCCAGAAACAAAACATAGGAGATGCCATATACAGTACATTAGTAGATTTTGCGATGTTTTAAAGTTAGATGATGAAATCTGCTAACAACCTGAGTTCCTTCATAAACTGAAGTTACATTTTATTGTACATATTGTGCTGTAAATTTTATTTAATAATTTAAGTTGTATTTTAAGATGGAGTGTGATTGGTGCGTGCAGTTAAAATTGAGTCATTTCGTTGTAAATTAGTTGAATAAACTTGCGTACAAGATTAAATTTAGTTGTACATATTTAGTGCTTTTAGCTTAGTTACTTTTTATCATTGTTTATAACGTGGATGCTTATAATGTTATGCAGTTAAAGGGAGGCTAAATTTTATAAAAATAAATATAAAGATGTAATTATTGTCGAGTTGAAAGTTATAGAATTACATATAAGAACAGAGATTATTTTTTGAGTTTATCAAAGTCTATCTATAATGTTTTACTAGAAAGACAACGTAGATCATGAATTTTGCATAACCAAAATCGGACACCGATAAATTTTGTTGTTTTTTGAACGTACAGTATTTTCTGACAAAGAACAATTTGGAGCATGTTTTTGATGTTCAATCCAGGGGTCGTCATCTTCATTCCAAGAATCTATGATTAATTACGTAACAAATACTGGATCCGTTTCTTTAAGTTTTGTTGTTTTGATCGCCTCAACTTACCACAACTTGCCAAAAAATATTAATTGCATGCAATTGAAAACTCAATGTCTTAAAATAAGAAGATTTTTGATGTAGATTGCTAGATTTCTGCTGAAACTTTATTATTAACGAAAATTTTATGTACAACCACGAAAGTGTTTAATATATACTGAAAATTTATTGGGTGCTGCTTCTTAGATATAACGCACTGTTTATTGTTTTCTGCTAAATATTAATAAAGTTTTGGCCGAATCACTACAATTGTTTAAACGTTGTCATTTGACACATGCTATAGATGTATTCCTTATATTTGTGTGAAAATTAATACCAGATATTGTTCGACTGTAGGTTATGCTCGATCTTAAACATCTTTTGATAGTTATTATTTTAAAAACGAACCGTACTCAAAGTTACTAAAGTTGTCCACTGCAGAATACTCATAGTAGTAGGTGATTAATATAGAGCATAATGTATAGTTTAAAAGTACTTACTTATCTGGTTCATGACAATACATTAGATATAAAGGTTAATATAAGTATAACCAGTTAAGAATATTGTTATTAGATCAACCATTTTAATTTACATAGTTTAGTTGTATTCTTTTTTACTGTAATAGATCCTTTCTTTTGCGTTAGTATCTTATCCTCAGTCATCACTGTAATTGATCTCCACTTCACTTACTCTTGTTTTAAGTAAGTAAAGTTTTATAAAATTTATTTCATAAATCATTTTTCTACGTCGTAGTTCATTAGCAAATTGTTATATCTATGAACTAAAAGTAAATTTCATATTTTTGAATATTTTCCGGACTGCACTGTTATTTAACTATGATTGAAACTTGGATTATTATTGGCCATATATTTTGTAAAGTGTAGCATGTTACCAAATAATGAAATATTGTTAATACACATGTATACAATTTAAATGTTACCGTATTTGTGCATTAATAAAAAAAGGTGTCACATTTATCTTTTTATCATTCTAGTACCCCTAAACATAAAAACATATTTTCGGATATTTTCGTTAGCACGTTGAGTAGTTTTATTTTTAACTTCTTATTGAGAAGTGGACTACCCACGTAAAGTAACCTCATTTGACATACACCTGTTAAAACGTTTATGACTTAAGCGGCTTAAGGCAAACCACCCTTATAAGTCAAACTGGGTATTGTATTACTTAACTCAGTTCACAGCCACATTATGCCAACAATGGACAGTAATAATCTTGCGGTTCGGGTCCACAAAGCTTACACTAGCCAGTTTGACTTATAAGGGTGCTTTGGTTTAAGCCGCTTAAGTCATAAAAGTTTTAACAGGTGTATGTCAAATGAGGTTTGTGTAGTCCAATCTTTTACACGTAACCAGTAAATTCTTAATATGTATTTTACTTACTGATGCATGAATTGTTTTCATTAGAATGGTAAAATCAATTTCATTTATGTAACCACTACTGATACTGTAAATACAGGCTGATTCAGCTTAAATAACGCACTTGCCTCTTTCTAAGAGGCATTAAACGCTTACTTTTTGATTCAAAATTTAATTCCAATCTAAATATGTTTTACTGTGCCACCGTTAATTTGATTGGAAGCATTTTTTCAAATTTCAAGAATACATAAATTAGAAGTTTACATATATAATTTATAGTTGTCATATATTAGTCTAATTTAAGTTTTGTGGAATGTCAGCAATCGTTAAATTCTTAAGTGTGAAAGTGTTGCAAATTAATTACTAACAAGAATTTTGTATGGCATGACAAAAGTAATGGAATTAACGATAAATCTTTAAGAGCTGAATAAATGGGTTAAACGGATGAATGTTATTTTGCTAAACATCTATTACATTTTCGAGGATTCAAAACAAATCCAAAACCCAAAATTTATTTGTCACACAAACAGTTGAGTTGTTTGTAAAGCTAATTTATACCTAAACATAACATATTTATCCAAGCTGATTATAAAATATGATACATCAAATTGGCTGTGAAATTTCGTGAATTTTGCCGCCTCGTTGTAATAACTGATGAGTTCTCCTATCAAGTGTCAATAATTTTTCTGTGTATTTGCTGCTTGGTAGACAACCATAAGCGAAGATTCTTTTGTAAATATTTAATAAGGACTTTCATCAAATTAGAAACTTTTTAGAAGATTCGTTCTATGGAGTTTTACACATGTCACCAGATATGTTACCACATAAACAGTCTTGAGTAGTGGGTTGCCTGTAAAAACCTTATCAACGTATAAATAAATTATTATTTCTAAATTTAGAACAGTTCTGTTTAGAAAAAAGACAGTGTTCATTTGAAATCATGTGTAGGGCTGATTTCGTTTTTCAATTTTTTGACATCGGCAACAATTTTGCAAAAATTTGAATCGTCGGTGAGGCCACAGTAGAGTGAGGCGGATATTTCCTCACATGATTAGTAGGTTGTTTGCACAATTGTCACAATGTAATAACGATTTCGTATTTACTGTTTCCAGGTTTATTTATTAATTTCTAATATCAATACCTACGAAAATGTCCATTTTAAATGAAATCTCTCATTTTAAATTTCTACTTGTAACGGTCAGTGGCTAGTCCCACACGTGATACCACAGACCAATGTAACGTGAAATTCCCCATGTGGAAAACCAGGGGAAAAAATGGTCGAAAGTTGTTTCCACAGAACTTCCCTCGCTCCTGAAGTACAATGAAACACATCCAGCATTTTCGAATGGGCCGCTCTCAGAGGCGTCTGTCACCGTTTCTCTGGCATAGTGAACTTTTCTACCTATGATGGGTACCTGTCCCTGTTTAGACTAGTGCCTGTCTGCGATTTAAAATCAGTTGTTTTGAAAAATGAAAAGATTTGATTTTGGCAATTTAATTTTTTTATGAAAACCATTATAAGTTAAAATAAAGATATGTACCATGTAGGTACATGGTACATATCTAGGTAGTAATGTTCAAGCAAAAGTAAAAAAACGTGCGACGCGATTGTTTCAAGTGAGTTTTCCATTAAAAAATTTTGCGACGACGTCATCAACATTTTTGCAAGGACACACGTATATCAGTTTGGATAGATATAGTGTAATACTAAAAATAAAAGTACTGTATTGCCAAATTTTCGGGAAAATGAATTGGGTCGTCATGAATATTGATTTATAATCAATAAAATAACGAAACAGTTTACTCGCGTATGCCAGGTGTATTAGCAGAGACCACTGCAAATCATTTAGGTAGAAGCATTCGTAATTTAAGACAACAAGTAATAACACTTGTTGAGATTGTATACGTGAGTGTGAAACAGAGAAACTGCAAACAATGCCGATGGTCGTCCAGACTTTTTTATTTCTTCGACTTCCGCTGATTATATAAAACTTTGGATTTTATTTTAATGTTTGATGTTGTAATTCACAATTGGTTGATTATAACTTGTCCACATTCACCTAACCTAGTCAGCATAACAAATGCCCGCCTGTAATGTTAAAGTAAATGTAAATAAGCCTATGTATCAAACCACTTTTTCCTTTATAAAATTTTGTGTCTATCAAATTTGGTTGGTGCAATGTAATACTAATAACAACAGTGTTGTATTTCCAAATTTTATGGAAAATGGAGTGAGCTATTCCTGATTTAATCAATAAAGTAACTTGACTCATTCATTAATTTTTTGGAGCCACCTCTTTAAGCAAATCTAAAATTTTGGTCGAAGGTTATTTCAACAGAACTTCCCTTGCTCCAGAAGAATAAATAACACCCCCTAAATCCCTGCACCCCGAAGCTGTAAATTCCAAGGGTCTGAACAAATGCGGACAATATGAAATATATTTAAAGCAGATGAACAGTGGGAAATAACATATTCCTAATTCCAAGTACTTGTTTAACTTTAACTGTTTTGTTTATGTTTATGCGTCGAAAGAATTGGAACATTAGTACGTCATATCGTATCACCGCCGGCACTGAACTACGTAACGGTGGCATTAAATGCATGCATATGTATTAAAAGAAACTGGCATTTGATAGATTTTGTCTCTTCAACACAGCGGAGAGGACTAATTAAACGATCCTATTTTGCACATTTTAGATAGTATTTATTCGGCAAAATTTTGAGATGCCCATGGGCGCCGGCAGGGGGGTGCAAGGGGGTGCACTTGCACCCCCCTGGCTTAGTATAAAATACACACTTTAATTTAAATCCAAATTGCAATTTCTAGGAAGTGGATAATAGTTTTTGAAATAGCTTCCGCATTCAGTTCTTGCAGCGGCACATATCCCAAAAATTCTTCGCAAATTATTGGATTTTTATTGTCTTGATCACAACGCAAATACCGAAATACCATCGATAATTGTTCTGTGCCACTAATATTAGCAGTGTCATCAGCCAACACCTAAAAAACGGATACCTGATTCACCTCCTCAATTATTTTGCCCTTCAGAACATCAGAACAAATTTCAATCAATTTATTTTGAATTTGATGCGATATATACAAAGAGTTTCCTGCTCCTGACTCTAAATGATTTTTAAAATTTCATCCCCAGATTCAATTCGAAAATGGAGCAAATATACTATATCCTATAATGTATGGGTGCACCCCCCTGCAAATAATCCTGCCGGCGCCCATGGAGATGCCGTAATCAATTTTTACTTCCCGAGCGTAAGCAAAGGAAGTATTGTAATCGAGTCCGTCGGCCGACTCTCTACTTTTACATTTTCTCAATCTTTCATGACCCCTAGAAGACGAAGAAATAGGTCTCCCGTTTCCGTCTGTCTGTCCGTCTGTCCGTCTGTACGTCTGTCTGCCGTCCCGGATTTTGATTCTGAAAGTACTAGGTTGATTGTTGTCAAATTTTGTATTTATTTTAGGTATATCATGTAGATGGTAAAACGCTAACAAAAATTTGTCTAATCATCCCCACCACTAATGTGATGACGTCACTTCAAAATTGTACATAGTTATTGGGTTTTAAAATGTATCAAATAACATAGTCTTACACATGTAGTTTATGACTCCGAATTGAGATTTTACCCGAAACGTCCAGGTTTTTGGAAAAAAAAATCAAAATTATGAAACAACATTTTGACATTTAATTTGAAATCTACAAAACTGAATGCTTTGAAATCTTGCAGATGGTTTACAGTTAAAAAATAAAATTTTAATCACAATGTATTTAGTTATCCCCTGCAAAAAATTAATAACGTCACTACAAAAGTTTGCCGAATAATCCTATCTGAAATGTACAAAATATGATTTATTCTACTTATATACTTCTACTAATTTATCACTCCATTCATATTTTTTGGATTTGCATATACAGGGTGACTCAAAAAATAATGAATCCTCATATTTATTTTAATCAGGAACTACAAAACCGAATGCTTTGAAATCTTGGATATATTTTAAGTTTATCATAAGCATGGTAAATTTTTGATCAAAATATATTTGCTCATCCCCCCTAAAAAATGAATGACGCCCACCAAAATTTTGCTGAATAAATCCTATCTAAAATGTGTAAAATATGATGAGTCTCTTCTTGTGATTTATCATTCCATTCACATTTTTTTGGATTTGCATATACAGGTGACCCAAAAAATGGGTAAATTTATTTTATTGATTTAATCAGGAACTAAAGAACCGAATGCTTTGAAATCTTGCAACTCTTTTAAGGTTATAAAGAGCATAATAAATTTTTAGTAAAAATATATTTGCTTATCCCCTCCAAAAAATTGATGACGTCAGCTCAAAAGTTTGTCGAATAATCCTATCAAAAAAATGTACAACATATGATGAGTCTCTTCTTGTAATTTATCATTCCATTCATATTTTTTGGATTTGGATATACAGGATGACTCAAAAAATTTAATGAATGCGCAAATTTATTTTATTGCTGTAATCAAGAACTACAAAACCGAATGCGTTGAAATCTAATGCGAAAAAAACATAATAGGCATGCAGTCGTCACGTTTCCGACAGCGAGGGAAGTACTGTCTAAACTCTTTAGACTAATTTTTTGAGGTTGATACACAGATACATTTTGATTAAAAAGTTACCATGCTTACAATAACGTCTGCAAGATTTCAAAGCATTCAGTTTTGCAATTCTTGATTTAATGAATAAAATTAATTGATGTATTCATTAATTTTTTTGAGTCACCCTGTATATGCAAATCCAAAAAATATGGGAGACCTATTTCTTCGTCCTCTAGGGGTCACGAAATGTCGAGAAAACGTAAAAGTAGATAGTCGGCCGGCGGACTCGATTACAATACTTCCTTTGCTTACGCACGGGAAGAAAAAATATGAATGGAATGATAAATTACAAGTACAAACTCATCATATTTTGTAAATTTTAGATATGACTTATTCAGCAACATTTTGAGGTGACGTCATTCATTTTTTAGGGGATGAGCAAATATATTTTGATTAAAAATTTACCATGCTTATGATAACTTTAAACCATCTCCAAGATTTCAAAACATTCGGATTTGTAATTAATCATTTTTTTTTGAGTCACGCTGTATATGCAAATCCAAAAAATATGATTGAAATGATAAATCACAAGTATAGACTCATCGTATTTTGTACATTTTAGATAGGGTTTATTCGGCAAACTTTAGAGCTGACGTCATCAATTTTTTGGAGGGGATAAGTAAATAAATATATGTATTTTGATTAAAAATGTACCATCCTTTTCATAACTGTAAACCATCTGCACGATTTCAAAGCATTCGGTTTTGCAGATTCCAAATTAAAGTACATAATGTTGTTTCATAATTTTGATTTTTACTTTCCGAGCGTAAGCAAAGGAAGTATTGTAATCGAGTCCGTCGGCCGACTCGCTACTTTTACGTTTTCTCGATCTTTTATGACCCCTAGAGGACGAAGAAATAGGTCTCCCGTTTCCGTCTGTCTGTCCGTCTGTTCGTCTGTACTGGACCGATTGTTGTGAAATTTTGTATTTATATTAGGAATATCATATAGATGGTAAAACGCTAACCAAAATTTGTCTAATCATCCCAACCAATAATGTGATGACGTCACTTCAAAATTGTACATAGCAAATGGGTTTTAAATTGTATAAAATAACATAGTCCTATACATGTAGTTTATGACTCCGTATTGAGTTTTTACTCGAAACGTTCAGATTTATGAAAAAAAAATCAAAATTATGAAACAACATTTTGCAATTTAATTTGAAATCTGCAAAACCGAATGCTTTGAAATCTTGCAGATGTTTTACAGTTATGATAAGCATGATAAATTTTTAATTAAAATATAGTTACTTATCCTCTCCAAAAAATTGATGACGTCACCCCAAAATTTTGCTGAATAAATCCCATCTCAATTGTGCAAAATATGATGAGTCTGTTCTTGTGATTTATCATTCCATTCATATTTTTTCGATTTTCATATACAGGGTGACTCAAAAAAATTAATGAATGCGTGAATTTATTTTATTGATTTAATCAGGAACTACAAAACCAAATGCTTTGAAATCTTGGAGATGTTTTAAAGTTATAACAAGCATGGTAAATTTTTGATCAGAATATATTTGTGCATCCCCCCTAAAAAATTGATGACACCACCCCAAAAAAAATCCAAGTTGATATACGTGTCCTTGCAAAAATGTTGATGACGCCATCACAAAATTGTGTAAAGAAAAAACTCAATTCGAAAATGCTGTATGCTTCATTCTACGTCAGGAGCAAGGGAAGTTCTGTCGAATCAACTTTCGACCAATTTTTTGGATTTGCATAACATGGTAAATTTTTGATCAAAATGTATTTGCTCATCCCCTCTAAATAATTGATGACGCCACCCCATAAATTTGCTGCAAAAAATGCTACCTTAAATGTGGGAAAAATGATGAGTCTATACTTGTGATTTATCACTGCAATAATATTTTTGAGGTTTGCTTATATGAGGTGTCTGAAAAAAATTAATGACTGAGTCAATTAATTTTTTTGATTAAATCAAGAATTGCAAAACTGAATACTTTGAAATCTTGAAGACGTTTTAAAATTATTGTAAGCATGGTAAATTGTTAATCAAAATAAATCTGTTTATTTCCCCCAAAAAATTGATGACCTTATCTCAACATTTTGCCGAATAAATTCTACCCAAAATGGGCAAAATACAATGACTTTTTACTTGTGATTCAACATATATTGTTTATTCATCAAATTAGAAACAAGTCACCCGATTTTCCCGAAAATGTGAAAATACAAACGTCTTCATTCAATAAGAATTATAATAATGATATTGAGAAAATTTTGTCGATTGTAGCTTACTAGTTAATTGTTTTGATCCTCTGTTTTGAGGGGACGAACTGATTCAAATCAAACTAATTTCTACGTGACATTCTTCCGATGCATAAACATATACACTTTAAGGTGTTTTTCTTATCGAGGATAACCTAAGGACGTACAGTAATGGAGTAAATTGGACAATTTGGTATTTTCAATTTTCTCTATGTTTCCTAAGGCCGTAGCTAGGGGAGGCTAGGGGATGCAACAAAAATGTCTGGACTGTAGGCATTGTCATCCGGTTATTGCAATTCGTAGAAACCATGTTTTAGTTTAGTTTGACCGTCACGTCTACAGGTTGATAAGTGTTATGGCTATTTGTCTTAAATTACAAGTGCTATACAGCGTGTTCATTTTATCTGTTCACGCCTGACAATTTTTGCATAGGCAACATATTATACACCTCAGAGACGACTTTGTCTTATTGAATTTTTTTTTAATAAGCAATCATAGCAATCACAGAAAAAAATGACAAAGGTGTCAATGCTAAGTAATGACAAAATTGAAAAAATTAGAACTCAATTTATTTTAAAATGCCCCGGTACAAAAATGTAATGCGAAAAAAACATAATAGGCATGCAGTCGTCAAGTTTCCATCAGCGAGGAAACTCTAAACTCTTTAGAGCAATTGTTTTTTCAAAAATCTGGACGTTTCAGGTAAAAACTCAATCTGGAGTCATAAACTACATGTGTAGGTCTATGTTATTATTTTATGCAATTTAAAATCCTCTGTACTACGTATTACTGAGTTGAGCAAGCTCAACGTTCGGACTGAGTACACCGTCAGAACATCGTTTATGGAAATCCACAACGAAGAAGTCCATGATTTATTCAGAGATAATATGGCTTTGAGGTGAGTTTGTCATAACTTGATCAGTGTTCACGGTTTTGCTGGCGTCATTTTAGGATGTACGATTACCCACTTGTTAAAGGATCTGTTAGTTTGAAACAGTTGAGGACAGTTACGGTATTCAATACGGCAAACGTAAAGCGGATTACTATAGGTCTTCGGGCTCGCCAAAAAAAAAAACTGCTAACTACAATATCCAGCATTTGTGTTCGCACGTCATTCTTAGGTTTTTAGTAAGCGTACGGGAAATCGATGGTAGAGGTGACGAGATCAACAGAAGTGTAATACTACGACTGCTGGATTTGCTAGGTAGTGAAAGCGCTGGACGGGAACGAGCCCGAGATTTCGGCAACGTCAATCGTTCTATCCAGACTGCACCAATAGTGATTAAAGCTATAGCTCAAAGAATACAGCACGTGCCTAGGGAGTCCAACCTGACTAGAATTCTACAAGATAATTTGAACGGTAACACCAAAACCGCGATGATTGCCAAGCTCAGGCTCTTGGAAGGACACAGTAGCCACACTGGAACTAGGACAGCTCGCTTCATCTATTATATCAATTTCTTGAAAGAATTAGATGATGAGTTTGACAAATTGAATTTTGAATTCGCCGCTGCCAAAAGATGCGAAGGAGTTTTCGTCAGCAACCAATCCTTCAAACAAATGACAGACGATACTAACAACAACAACCAAAAAGTTCTCAAACTGGTGGCCGAATTGGCGAACCACAAATGTTCTATCGATTTGCAGTATCGCTTTCTACAACTCTCCTTCCACAAAACCAAAGATGTTCTAGAAACCGTCCAACAAAGGATTGCCGAAACACGAAAGGTTTTATTAAACGAGAAAGTAACGTTGAATGCTGCCACGGAAAAACATAAAGACTTTACCAAGACTCTTTTAGATGTTTGTAGACGCTCCACGCGGAATAAAGAAATTTATTATAGAAAGTATCAACAGGCAACTGCTGCGAATAAACAGAACGCGCAAAAGTCAAAAGCAATGCTTTCGATTTTGAACAGCTGTCTTCAGGATGTTGTCGATGAGACACAACGTAAGTACTTCCGCGGAGAATTTAGCTGCGATAAACCAAACACAGCAAGATTTGGCTGTTCTGAGTAAAGAGACATCGGATAGTGCATGTTGCATGGATTTTATTGCTTCTGATATGCGCAGCTACGCTGACAACTATAACTTGACTTTGAACGAAGTGGCACGAAACGATTTAAATTGTCATTTAAAGGCGCTTCAGGATGTACCAAGCGGCAGATTTGAGCACAATCTTGCCCATGTTCGCACACCGACGAAAATCAGAGACACGATGGAAGCCATAAAGCAAGATTATGAGACGGACTTGCGCGATATGGGGGTGCATTCTGAGAATACTTCTCACAGCGTAAGTAAAACCCAGTTTTCAGTTCGACAATCAACATTTTCGCTTTAGGTAGGAAGACAGCTGATGAAAATGAAGCTCTAATAAAAACAGCAAATAAGAATTTTTTCCAAAATTCCAAAGCTTTATTAGAAAGAGCCGCCATTTTAGAAGCACACATCGCTAAAGTAAAAGCTATAAAAGAGCGAAACGCGAATATGGCCCTAGCACCAGTACGAGAATCCATCAATCATTACTTGGAGCAAGTAAGTTACATAATTTTACTAGTATTCGGTTACATATTCATTTTAGCCACCCATAATCCTGAATACCTCAATGGTGAAAATAAAAAATGTTTTGCAACAAGCCGAGTCTAGACAAAGTCTCGTGCACACTCAAGCAGAGTCAGATCGGAGCTCTATACATCGAGCCGTGAAGGAAATGGAAGCAACCGTCAAAGAAAATCTAACTCAAAGAAATGAAGTAAGTCGGATTAAACTGTATTACGTGGTTAAGTCATTTGTTATTTAGGAAGTTCGCAACAGACAAAATTTAGTCGAAAAAACATTACCGACTTTGGGTCGAATGGATGACACTTTCATGCAGTTGTCGCAGAATCTAGTGCACCGAAACGTTAAGTTTTTTTTATGCAGAGAAAAAACTTACCGAATGTCATCAACATAGAAGCGTTGGACATGCCGGGGATACACCCGCTAAACAAACATACAAGTATCCCAAAGGAATCCCTGTTACAAAACTGAATATGAACGGCAACACCAGTTCACCCAGTGGAAGTGATAAATAAAGGTGGTATTTGTTTGAGGACTAATGAACATTTTTATATCAAATTATTTTTTCAATTCTTTTGCAATGGGAATTGATGGCATTCCTTCTTTTATACTCCGGGACTGTACTGCAGTTCTTGTACATCCTTTGTGCATCATTTTTACCCTTATTTAAAAAAAAACGCAATATTCCCGACATTATGGAAAAAGGCTTACGTTAGTCCCATTTTCAAAAACGGTCGGCAAAATGACAGAGGAATTTCCTTGCTATGTAATTTTGCAAAGATTTTTGAAACAATATTGTACTCTGATATTTACAACTCGACTAAACACTTAATTTCCCCCGTACAACATGGGTTCATGCAGAAAAAATCAACGGTTACAAATTTAGCTGTATTCGCCCAATATGTATCGGAAATCACTGACTGCAATGGACAATACGATGTAGTATACACCGACTTCGCCAAAGCTTTTGATCAGATTGACCATGGGTTACTCCTTGAGAAATTAAGCAACTTGGGCTTTTCGAACTGATTAATTAAATTGTTCTTCTCTTACTTAGACAATAGAATGTTTATGGTTAAATATCAAAACTTCTACTCTAATTCTTTCATTCAATTCTCAGGAGTTCCACAGGGCTCTAACTTGGGCCCGTCATTGTTTCTATATTTTGTCAATGATCTTGCAGCTGTCCTCCCGTGTAGAAAATTGATGTTTGCAGATGATCTAAAATTATATGCGGAAGTCAATTCTGTAGACGATTACATATCATTACAATTATGTATTGACCTCCTGTATTTTTGGTGTATATGTTATCACTTATTACTTAACATTCGGAAATGTAAAGTGTTGTCCTTTTCACGCAAACAGTTCCTATGCACATATGACTACAACATCAACGATTCACTCATCGATAGAGTAGATAACTTCAAGGATCTAGGGATAATTTTTGACAGTAAGCTAACTTTTATTGACCATATAATTGATATCATTGCGAAAGCTCACAGAACATATGGATTCATCTATCGTAACTGTAGGGATTTCTCCAATCAACATACTATGAAAATATTATTCTGTTCTCTTGTTCGTTCCAAATTGGAATATGGTGCTGTGGTTTGGTACCCGTTCAATGAAGTGCATTGCAAAAATCTAGAAAGTATTCAACGCAAATTTCTCAAATTCCTGGCTTTCATCCAAGATGGTTTTTATCCACCTCAAGGACTTGACCATAGTGAATTGTTATCCAGATTTAACTTCACGTCTCTTAGCGTCCGGCGTAACATCTTAATGATACGATTTCTATATAATCTGCTGAATAACAACATAGACTCTCCTGAATTACTATGTAAATTAAATTTACTCGTTCCAAGGTGTTGTAATATCCGTCACCATTTGCTATTTTATACACCTCAATCACGAACTAACGTTTCAACTAAGTCACCAGTTGCTGTAACGTGCACTTTATTCAATAAAGTAGCAAATAACTGTGACATTTTTCATGATTCTGTTAAGAGAATATCTTCTTTTATTTGGGATTTATCTTAGTTTTTATAAATTCACATTTAGATCTCTTAGCTAGTGTTTTATTATTTGTATATTTATAGTTGTAGTAATTATTTCACAATTTTATTGCGATTGAAAAATTCTGTAATGCTGTATTATTACTATTAATAATGAAAATAAAGCATTATAGAATTTTTGTACGCCAATAAAATTGTGAAATAATAATTACTACAACTAGAAATATACAAATAGTTTGTTATAAAAATGTCCAGAGTTTATCAGTACTTACTTCACTTTTCTTTTGCCTGTAAACTAACACGAATAAAACTGTGAAATAATAAAATTATTATCGAAATAATAAAATTTTCGTTAATAATTTCATGATTTGGTGCGGGGAGGCTGCACACGTCTAAAAATCGTAATACATCTTGGCTCATCTATTTGTAATGCAGAGGTAGATATTTTTGTATTTATATTAAATTACAGTTTATAAAAGTCTTTATTACAACCCCCACTTTGTAGTTTTTCTGCAAAAAAAAAAGTGAAAGTTAGAACATCCTTGCGTTTGAAGATTTTTTTTTTCAAATTTCGCGCGCTCTTTTCCCTTTCATTTTTGCCAGTTCAACAACAACAACTTTGAAAAAAATATGCTAAAATATCACTGAGTGTGCTTAGCCTGACATCAAATTTTTGTTGCAACAAGGTCGATTTAATTAATGGCTAATTTTATGCTTTTTCTCGCACAGTAAGAAAATATCGGTCTCCCACTTCTATCTGTCTGATTTTAGGAGTGTTTTAGGAATAGTCGGCTGGTAATTTCGAAGATTATCTGTCTAAGAGAAATCTGGACAGACGACAGATAGACAAACGGAAACGAGAAACCTATTGTTTCGCATTTTATGGGTCATGAAAAGGAATAGTATCAAACTTTTTAGGGGGCAGTACAGGTAGTTAGAAATAGAGATGGCGTCATCAAAATTTTGATGGACCTTATAAAATCATAAAATTTTGGCTCAAGTTCGACAGTTGTTGTATATCCAACAAATTTTTTACAGGTGGAAACGAGAAAGCTAGATATTATCCAAAATTGCACTGTCACAACACTATCGTCTAATAAAACGTAAAAAATCTCAGACTTCTTTGTTTTTATCATAACTTATCCAAAAGAAAACAAGTAGCAGAAAACATTTATTTTTATAATCAAATGTACAATCGCAATTATGAACAAAATCTTGCTTGTATGATTCTGAATTTTTTTAACTGACTGTATACAGTAAAATGCGTTTAATTATGATATTGAATTCTACTATATATAGTGGAATTCAATATCATAATTAAACGCATTTTACTATGTTCTCGATTGAAAATGAGTTCCAATTTTTAATAGCGTGTATTAAGTAATTCCGCTAAACAAGTAGTTTGTATAACCGTATCATATCGAACGTACCGTAATATGAGGTTAATTTTAGATCGTGCACAAATACCGTAAATATTGTGTGTAAAAACTCTAATAAAAAGTGAAGTGAGGTAATCAAGAGGAAAGTCTTTGCAGGGGTGGTGGAAAGGTATTTTTTTTATAATTCGTTATTTAGCATCAAACCAATTACTGACTGCAGTGCATAAATTGGGAAAAGTTCACAAAATGTTTTATTCATTGCCGCAGTATAAAATACAAAATGTTCATGTGGCATCATTAAATCGCCAAAAATCACATCTTCATTCATCAAATTTTATAAAATAACAGACAGAAATTGAGTCTCTGACACTTGGAACAACCTCCCCCAGGAAATCTTGGAGGCTTAAACCACAAGCACCTTTTAAACGCACATCACTTATGTGGCAAATTTGTTTTAAATAGTTGTTACCTATTTTATATTTAATTTTAATATTAGTTTTGTACAAAAAATTTAAATTTGTTAACTCTACAGATTTATAGGCATAATTTCAATCTGTAGATATATTGTATTATTAATAATAATAATAATATAATTAATAATAACATTAATAACAACATATGTGCTCTTGTACTTGTGGTTTATGAAACGGGATTATTTTTTTATCCTAGACATGAACAATCCCAACTATATAACAAAAACCATAGCGCAGTTGGTTCCCGTGATGGGATGAAACGCCGTTGCGCGGATGTGCGAAAACTGCTATTTTTATGTATAAAGGTTATTATCAATTATCACAAACAAATTATCGAAAAATTAAATATATAGCATAATTTTTCAAAAAAGTGGGATTTGTTGGACTGTACTTTTTGAGAAAGTAAACGTATGGTTGGGGATATTGAGAAATCACTTGCCTTCAAGATGGACAGTTGAACAAATACAGGGTCTTCTGAAAATTGTAAATTTTAATTTTGGAAATTTTATTTTTTAATGATAAATCCTATAACTTAAAATTAAGATATGTCTGGATTGTTAAGGTACAGGTAAAGGAGCTTGTTATGCATATGTCTCAAGTGATATAAGAAAATTTTGTCATGAATATTTTATCAAGGACATATATCAATTTGAATAGGTGTATTGTAATACTAATAACAACAGTACTGTATACTCACGTTTTCGGGAATATAGGGTGGGCCGAAGGTGAGTCGTTCTTGATTTAAAAAATCTTAATTAAACTTAAACTGAATTGGTGGTCGTAGACAAGTCTTGTGCGTATTGAATTCCTTAAAAATAAAAACTAAATCAACAGATAATAGGATAGCAAACATTTTTGTAATTTTTAGATTATTAGATACATTTCCACGAGAATATCGACAGAATAATATTTGGAAACGATTGTACAAAAAAATTGGCTTTTCTGACCATACAGCCGGTATTAAGTGTATTTGCTACGAAATCGTTTCGGAACACGGTCGATGAACATGTTTTCAATCACTGTAAATACTATTACGTAAGCCAGTGTGTATTCATGTGGGATAATACAGGAGCGGTTCAATTATTGCTATTATTGTGTTACCCCGAGTAGTGAAGAAGATTATCCTGGATTTTAACATGTAGTAGAAGAAATTCCCAAATGTATGTAACGTCTATACAGAAAAGCATTCAACCCTTTCAATCCTCTCATAATCAAACCACTCCTTCTTCAGAAAAGATGAATGATGGAAAATAAAAGTTAGTATAAGGTAAAACCCGGATCTTGTGTGAATTGCAAACACGAAAATGGCACTCAAGGGACACCGATAACCAGCAAGTTAACGTCGTTCTGATTTTATGACCCTATTAAAGTTCCAAAAACAATCTGTATCAACACGATTCTTAACTAATTTGACTGGGCGAAAAAAGGTGCCGTCTTCCCATGAGTTTTTCCGCAGGAGTGATTCAAGACGATTTGTCGGTGTATATAGCTCTACTTGGTGCAGATTTGAGATATAATTGAATGTTGAATGAATAATGCATGTGTCCTCAGCGACCGCAGCCGCAGCATGTTCTCTTGGGACAGAGTTAGCACTCTCCCATCTCCCCTACTCTGGAATTGACCATGGACCGGAATGGACCGTCAAACTCTGCACGCCCAGCTGAGCGTGTTTGTTAAATGAACACCGACAGAAAACTGTTTTATTTCCAATTACCGCCGACTTTTTCGACGATTTAAGAACTGCGATCGCGCATTATCGGCTCCGCGTAAGGTGTGACTTCATTAGCGAGTTATGTGGAGCGAACGAAGCTCGCTCCTGTTTCTACACGCACAAATGAACAACCCTTCATATATAAGTGCATACACAGGTGTTCCGATTATCGAACGGTTGTTTCCTTACATAAATATATCACAATTGCACTTCACATATTTTTCCATATAACAAATGTAAAACAAAATATAGCCGACAATTAAGTTCTCTACCAACTTTAAAAATGTCTGAGCTTTATTTAGTTGGTTATAGGTAAATTAATAGGTTTGTTCCATCGCAAGAAACTTTTTGTTTGTTAGATAGCTGAGATCTAACTAACGTAGGCACTGACGTAAGTTCTATGATAATGTTTGATATTCACTGACATATAACGGGTGTTCAATTGAAAAAT